GTGTGTGTCTGTGTCTGTGTGTGTTTGTGTGTCTGTATATGTGTCTGTGTCTGTGTCAGTGTGTGTCTCTGTGTGTCTCTATGTGTCTCTATGTGTCTCTATGTGTCTGTGTCTGTGTGTCTCTGTGTGTCTGTGTGTCGGTGTGTCGGTGTGCCGGGGTGTCGGTGTGTCTGTGTGTCTGTGTGTATGGTGTTGTCTGTGTGCGTGTGTCTGTGTGCGAGTGTTGTTTGTTGGAATGTTTTCATCTACATACATTCGTGTATAGATGCATACACAAGATTGTATTGGCGCTTCGCGCAATGCACCTTGGCCCTTCAGGATCGGCACGCAGGCGGCAGGCGGGGCGCGGGAGTGAGAGAGAGAGAGAATTTCCAAAAGGACGAAGGTTACTTGTTGCCGTTAGCCCCATCGTTGTTACAAGTTTGTTATAGATCACCTGTCCCTCATGTCCCCCTCTTCATTTTTACTCGTCGTTTGCGAACGCGTCCCGGTTACATTTTTTAGATTTTTCCCTACCTAGGCTCTGCCTAGAAGGGTTCTTACTCTCTTAGCTTAAAGGGGCCGGGCAATGGAAAGCGCCCCGGGCGGTTCCCCCGGTCCCCGCCCCGCGGTTCCCCCAGTCCTTTGGGAGCTTTAGCTTTGGCTTTTAGCTTTAGCTTTAGCTTTAGCTTTAGCTTAGCTTTAGTTTAGCTGTAGCTTAGCTTTAGCTTAGTTTTAGCTTAGCTTTAGCTTAGCTTTAGCTTAACTTTAGCTTAGCTTTAGTTTAGATTTAGCTTAGCTTTAACTTTAGCTTAGCTTCAGCTTAGCTTCAGCTTAGCTTTAGCTTAGCTTTAGCTTAGCTTTAGCTAGCTTTAGCTTAGCTTTAGTTTAGCGTTGGCTTAGCTTTAGCTTAGCTTCAGCTTAGCGTTTGCTTAGCGTTAGCTTAGCTTTAGCGTAGTTTTAGCTTAGCTTTAGATGTAGATTTAGCTTAGCTTAAGCTTAAGCTTATATTTAGCTTAGATGTAGCTTATATTTAGCTTAGATTTAGCTTAGCGTTAGCTTAGCTTTAGCTTAGCTTTAGCTTAGCTTTAGCTTAGCTTTAGCTTAGCTGTAGCTTAGCTGCAGCTT